TCTGTGATCCAATGAAATGTTATGGTTGGAGAAAACCTGTTTGTTGGTAACATCATGCTGAGTTTTTATTTTTATTTTAAATAAATTCTTTTTCGCCCAGAAGTGACTCATTTTAGGTGCAGGAGGAATACCTCCCAGGAATCCCTAAACTTATTCTGCAAATGGGTTTCAATAATAAACTGAGAGGTTTGTCTTTCCACTCATCCTCCTGCAGAAAAAGCTCCAATCTAAATTAATCCCCCACTCCAATAGGCTGAAGAAGATTGAACTCCTCTTCTTCAGGCAGCGACATCAACGATTTTTTAAAGAACATTGGAAGAATAAGAATAAGACATTTCTTGGAAATTGCTGAAAATAATTTCTGAAATCTAATTTTATTTGTGGGCATAAAATAAGAGTTGTAGAGTCTCATCTTTTTTTTGGTTTAGAAATATGGGCTCACATATATAAACCTCAATCAATTTCTGTATTTTTAAAAAATACTGTTAGTGTAGTATGGTTCATTCATGTACAACTTTATACTTGATCGTGCTTGTTCTCAACTGCTTTTTAAAAATGTATTAATTTACTTTGAATATGTGGTTTAATTAGTTGTTTGCTGTGGGACTCTTTTCCTCCATCCTCATCTCTCTGTACCTCTATTCCCCAGGCGGCTCTATACTTCCAGGCACCGACCCCCGTCTGGCCGTGTTGCGGAGCTCCTGGCCCGGCCCGCAGAGGGGCCCCAAAGCCCGGAGGGCTGGAGGACGGACAGAAGCACGGATCTCTTTCCGATCTCTTATCAGCTGCAGCAGATTCTCAGGGGACTCATTCAGGAGGAAAGCGATGCCCACGGTGTTGTCACACATCAGCGGCACAGAAACGGTCATTAGTGGTATTAAAAGAGATAAGATCGGGATCCGAGTCCCGTGGGAGCCGTTTCTATTTGCACACTGAACTACACAAAGAATTGGTTCCGTTTTTTCTCTTGATTGGTGGCAGGCAAAGCCCAAAACCTTGGAACAGCTTCCAAATGGTAAGACGGGCAAAATAAAACCAGTATGGTCATAAAACACCCCGGGAAAAGACATAAATAGGAAAAGAAAGCGCAGTGAGTGACAAATTAGACGCATGAGTGAGATCAATGCAGAACATTTGAATAACAGCAGAAGATCCGCCAAGCTGAACAGCCCCCATTGAATCTGTTACTCCGTACTCTTGTTTAAGTCTACCCTGAAAATTTCGAGTCAAAAAGCTAAAACAGAAGCAAGCAATAATTTTAAATGACGTATTTGCTGCAGAAACAACAATTTTAACTCTAACATAGGCTACCATCCTCAATTTATATCTATTTTGGTAATACAATTCTAATTACATGGACGCTTTACATGTTTATTGATGATTATTATGGCTTACAGCTTCAAAAATATCACAACAGCAATAATAATAAAAAAAGATTTTTATTACAGAAAAGTTACGCTCAGCATAATCATGGGGGAAGATTGTTGACTTTATCAGGCAGAAAGTTGTTAACTAGAGTCTACAACATAAGATCACTGCTAAACAAGCTAGCTGTTTTAAATGTGCTTTAACTATTAGAAAGTTGAGTGGAAGGAAAAAGTGTGGTTAAGAAAAGAAGGTATGCCAGCAATATGGATTAGCACCAATATGGGGAGCAAAACAGTTTGGTGGAGATTTCCAAGCTGATTGGCTGTAGTTGGCACTTCACACACACACACACACACACACACACCTACACACCTACACACACAACTGTTCCAGTGCTTGTGTTGAGCATCTCCTGAACCAGATGGGTTAGTGGAAGGAAGGACTGGACTTTTGCCAGATGGTTTACAGTCCTCTTTATAGAAAATTTTGCAATCCAGCCTTGCACTGAAGTCCAAACTAAAGTTTTCACAGGCTCAGCTGATTCGGGGTGCCACGTCATCTCTTGGTGTTGGTCCACTTTATTTTACTGTCCAAAGTAATTCACGCTTTCTCCTTCTGACAAGTCCTATGGAGATGGTGATGTCATTTTCAGCAGGATTTTGGCACATTATGCCCACGTTTCCAAAAGTATCAATACCAGATTGATCAATATCATATCGCCGTGATAGATAGGCCATGAAACTCACCTGACCTAAACGATACAGATGATTTACGGAGTATTGGGAAGAGGAAGTTGAGGGACACCAGAGCCACCATTAAAGCACTTCTTTAACTGCTCAGCTCAGCCGCAGATTGTACTTTTCTTTAGACATTTCTGTTTAAAATGTTTCTCATTGGTTTTGTTATTTTTTTCTCTAAGTTATCAGAAATCACAGTCCCGAAATGTCAAAAAGTTGCGGGGTTTTTTTTTTATCTGACATGTGTTTTTTTTTTTTTCTTTTTTTAGTTATTTAAACACCTTTATGACTCATTGATGTTAGTTTGGGGTGTAAAGTCTCTTTAATGGACACTTCATTCTCTAAAGCTAGATTTATGACGCTGTCTTCAAAGTTTGAACAGAAAAACATTGTTTTCTCGCTCTCTCTCTTGCGCTCATCCAACCTGCGCGCGCCTCTCCATCCCTCCCTCTCTCCACTTCAAAGCTGCACTTCAAAGTCAGTCTCCACACACGAGCTGTTCTTTCGCAACATCCTCGCCATCATCACGATGCCTCGAGGATTCTTGGTAAAGCGCAACCGCCGAGGTTCGGCGACGTACCGCGCACGAAGCGACGGCACCGGCACACCTGAAGCGCCCAGCTGTGACCGGAGTCGCGCGCAGGCTGAGAGCTACGGTTCAGTGAGACTCTTGAATGACCTTCCAGGTGGAGCATCGCCGGAACTCCGCGACGATCCGGGCAGGGAGGCGTGGAGCCCTCACGTGGAGCCCGCGGTGGAGGCGGAGGCTGACCGGCACGCGCAGTTACCGGAGACCGAGGTGGACGTTTTGAGTGTGGACGGTGACTTCCCCTGTTTCTACCCACATCCACCCCCACACGAGCCGACCATAAACAAGTCCTGTAGTCCAGTCAAACCAGTGGGAACGAGGCTGCTGGAGCAGCACGTGGAGAGCGAACAGCAGCCGTGTTCCCCGGTACCGGAGCTACCGGACCTGCCGTTCCTGGTGAGCGCCGCACCGACCTCTGTGTCCGCTTCCATCGAGAGGCTGCTCGCAAGCGGCGGCGGCGGCAGCAGCAGCAGCGGCAGCAACAACCGTCTCCACGCGCAGTCATATGGTCACAACGACAAGTACGACCCGAATCTGGCTCACGTGCACTTGTTCCCGTCTCTGACCCTGATGGGTCAAGAGAACACCACAAGAAAGCGCTCGTACCTTGATCCGGACCACCAGAACAAACTCAGCACTAAGCAGACGAAGAAATCCAAACCGAACCGGAGACAGAACTTCGAGGATGAGGTCACCACGTCTCCGGTTCTGGGTCTGCGCATCAAGAAGGAGAGCCCGGAGATGAGGAGGTCTGCTCCCACCGGGACTCAGCCGCTCGGAGAGTTTATCTGCCAGCTCTGTAAGGAGGAGTACCCCGACCCTTTCTCCCTCGCGCAGCACAAATGCTCCCGCATAGTGCGCGTGGAGTACCGCTGCCCCGAGTGCGACAAGGTCTTCAGCTGTCCCGCCAACCTGGCCTCCCACCGGCGCTGGCACAAACCGCGTCCGGTGAACAACCAGGGCATCGAAGGTCACGCGAACCGGACCCAGCCGCTAAAGGAGGCGCGAGACTTCGTCACGCACGAGCGGCAGCCCGTGGACTTGGAGGGAAAGGAGAATGAGTTGCTGCGCGCGCACACCAATCAGCACCTGGACAGCTCCCGCGTGCTGCTGCTCCACGGTCGGACCCGAGACACTCCTGATTCCTCCTCTACTCACTACCGGAACCCGGACCTGCAGCCGCACGTGAGAGCCGCGGACAGCCCTCCGTCCGGACTCCTGCGTCTAACCCCGGGCGAGCAGCAGCAACAGCCGCCGCTGACCTTCGTCCGGTCCTTAGCGGAGGAGGAACTGTACGAGTGCCGCTACTGCGGGAAGAAGTTCCGCCGGCAGGCTTACCTGAAGAAACACCTGGCCGCACACGAGATGACAGCGCACGCTTCACCAACCCCATCGTCCTACAACCAAGCGCGCGACAGCGGCAGTGTCCAGAGCGGCCAGGTGTTCCTGTGTCACCTGTGCGGCGCGCGGTTCCCGTCGGTGGAAATCCGGGACAAGCACCGCGTGTGGCACGCGATGAGGGACGAGCTGCTGGCGGAAACGCTGGGGGGAGCGCTGGCAGCGGACGGGTTCCACGCGCACAGAGAGGAGGGGAACGGCGGGGAGCGCGAGCAGCAGCAGATCTTCACGTGCAAGTACTGTCCGTCCACGTTCTTCAGCTCCCCTGGGCTCACGAGACATATCAACAAGTCTCACCCCACCGAGAATCGGCAGGTGATGCTGCTGCAGATGACAGTACGACCATAAAAAACGATCAGACTGATCGATTATCAATGACGGGAGGCAAACTTAAATGTAGATTTTGTTTTGTGTATTCGGACTAAGCTGTCCCTGTGCCTTTAATTTAAAACTTAATTCCATTTTTCTGATTAACACGGTAAACAAAAGTAATCTTCAATTATATATTTTGAAATGAAATGCAAGGCGTTAAAATCTACATGGAGAAATTTAAATGGAGTAGAGGGTCGCTGTCCTTGGTGCTGAAATAGCCAATAAACCGGAGTGGAAGCAATTCCTTAAGTTGATTAAAAAAAAAAAATTACGGTAACGTGTTTTGATAAAGTTTCAGCTCTATGATATTTTCATACAGAAACAAAGCATTCAATGTAACAACAGACTGCTACATAATTCATATCAATATTGATTTTAAAATGACTATGGAGTTAAAAACACAACCGCAGCTCCTAGAAGCCTGTACAGATCTATTTTAATATGTTCTACGTTCACTGTGTAACTGATTCCAAACTACAGTCAATAAACATATTGATGATCACCTTTTTTTGTCACATCAATAAACATTCAGGAACCACAGGTACAAATCTTTTATTGTTTAAGTCCATTGTTGCACATTGACACTTTATTTTGTGTTTGAAACAGTTACACTGTTTACAGGTTTGCTGAGCTTGCGAGCATGTCTGTGCGTGTGTGTGTTGATAACATGCAGTTAGTGCTGAAATGCAGTTTCTTTTTACATCAGTAGTTACAAACATCTGCCAACATGTGGACATCCAGAGCCTACAAAGGCGGCGGATAATTCTGCTGCAACTTAAATGCGACTTTCTTCCTCATCTCACAGAAGAAACATTTGTTTTATTTTATTTTGGCTTATGCTAATCGGGTTTTGAACTGAGTATTGTTGAATTATTTTCCAGGAAAACGATTAAGAAAGGAACAAATTATTACATGATGAGCATGCAGACATGGGCAGATTTAAGTGCTGGGATGGCGCACACGTCCAGACAGCAGAATTCATAACAATAAATTGTATTTTGACCTCTAAAAATAATTTAAAGGGGACCAGCACTCAGTTTAACTCTAAAACACAAAGGAAACATTTAATCGGTCTTATTAAAGAATGGCATTTTATCAACAAAAAAAGTACAGTCCCTTTCCTTTCATTTATTTCTTCATCTATTTTTTATAAAAATCTATGGCTGAGACAGTAGAAAAGAAAACTAATACTGGGCAATGGATATGTGAAGGGAAACAAATGTAACATTTTCTCCAAATCAGTCCCATCTAATTTGATCTGGAGATTTGCGATGCCTCTAAATAGAGAGCAGATTAATGCTAAAAATATACATATTCTAAAACGACGACTCCACCTCTTTTCATCTTTGGCTGTCAATCTGCAGCAAACTGGTTTTTGTTGTCTTTTCCATCAGGACCCATTTAGCAACAAGTGAAATAAATGCTGGAGTTGCAAAACCTGACATCAGCTGAAGTCTGTGGAAAGACAGACAAACCAGAGAGATCCTCCGCCTAATTAACGATGCGAACTAAACGGGATGATTTCTACATTTCCAGAGGATGACGTGCAAACTGATGAAGAAAAATGCTGTAGTTAAGAGTAACATTCTGTAGTGTTGACCTATGTTTTTATTTATAGCAAACACATGCTCTGAGGATATACCACGGTTTTGGCTTTGGCAGCTTTTCTTGTAATCTTATTTACACAACAAGCTTCGTCACACTGTACATACTCTCATAGACATCCATGTATCTAATATATATATGTATATATATATATATATATATATTTATACTTGTATAGATATACAGAATACATATTTATAGTCAAAAAAGCAAAAAGAAAAAAAAAGTAATCTTGTTTCTGGAGGGACAAATAAAAATACAGCATTTGACAATTTTGTTTGAGTGAAAGCAGAATTTACATAAAAAAGACAAAACAAATGCAGTGAATATCAGTGCTTGTCCACAGTTGACAGCATGACCTAGGTTGTGATTTCTGAACCTTTCTAACTTCCACAAATATGTTTGTATTCGATAATAAAAACACTTTCCCCTGCAGATAGCTGCAAACATACTGACGTGTTTGTTCTGACATTTTATCCAACCAACTATCCTCTCTAGCATTGCTTGCAGAGCAGTGCATGATGTGGCACAGTTAATTTTTTAAATACGGTTTTGCAGTCTCAGTAACACAGGTGTTTTGCTAACTTCCACACATGGCACGTGTTGGTGTGATCTAATACTGCACAGCTTAAGTTGAACTTTTTCAGCAGCATTGGAGTGAGTGTTTTATGAAAGCAAAGCTGCAGATTTATACGATGAGATTATACCAGATGTACATTTGTAAGTGTGTGTGAGTGTGTTCAGTGCAGGAAAAACAGCCATTGTTCAACCCTGATGAACATGAGATGTGACACTAAAGGTTTTAACCTAAGCTATATTCGTGAGGATGAAGTGATCAAGTGGAGAGACTCAAGTCTTATTGGCGGATCCGGAGGACCGTCGCAGCTTCATCGACATGCGGGTCTTGCTAGTTCGAGGAGACATGGGGGACGCCGAGTCGCTCCCGGCCTCCCCAAGAGCCGGACTTTCTCCCCGAAGCATCTCGAGGCAGGAGCCTGAGGAGTTGGGGGAGGAAGAGGAAGAGGAAAAGTTTGATGCAAGAGTAGGTGAGGCGAGCGGGGGTAGGGGGAGGTGTGTGTGTGGGGGGGGTGGATGAGCAGAAACGAGATAAGGGGAGAACAAGAAAATTACATCTTATCCCTAAAATAAGGTAGACTGAGGCAGACTGCGGAGATTCTCAGTCAAACTATCCCAACAGACAAACAAAGGACACAAAACGACTCACAAACAGACAGGCAGCTACCAGACAGACAGACAAAATTACTACAGAGGCTCTGGAAGCTCAATGTCTTCTTGTATCTTTGTTCCCTAAATCCCGAAGACGTGCTTACAGGAAGAAAAACACCATGAAACAACTCACCGGTCTGCGTTTTTAACACAGAAATACTTTATTAATAATGAATCGCCAATGAATTTCACTGATGCTAATTTGCTTGACTACTTGCAGCTTTTGGGGTTTAGTTACAAAAACATAAAAACGCGGTCGATGCCACCAGACTATAGTTTTTATCTCCAGTTCATACCATTCACAGCCAGCATGAAGGACCTTCTGCTTTAAGCCTCTGCTCTTCTCTCTCAGCTGGTTTAAGCTGTCAACAGGTTTAGGGACCATAAGATACAAAACGCTATGCTCTTCTGAAGAGCAGAGGGAAGAAGATGGAAAAGAGAAACGCTGACAGGAAAGGGAAGTAAGGAAAAGTAAAGTGAAGGAGGGGAAAACAAGTTACATCAAATCAAGTACACAAAGAAAAATAAGGTGAGGAAAAATTAAATAGGGTAAAGTAGGTTTAAGTAACAGTTAAGGGAAGAGAAGTAAAAGTAAAACAACACAAGGGAAAGAAAGTAAAAGAAGGAAGGTAAAAAGAAAGTGAAAAGAAGAAAGAAAGTAAAGTAGGTTAAAATATAATTCAAATTGAGGTAAAAAAACAGAAGAGAAACAAGGAGGAGCAATTAAATGAGTGGAAGAGCAGGAAAATAAAGCAGGAGGATTATTAGAATTGGGATAAAAGCAAATGAAAGGTATGGATCACAATGTGAAACAAAGGGAAAAAGAAAGGATGAGAGCAGGCAGAAAGTGTCGGAAAGATGTAATTCAGGGAAAAGGAGGAGGTAAAGTAAACAAACAGAGACATAAAATATGAAAGAAGGAGGGAGTTTGAGAGAGGAGAAAGAAAATACACAAAAATGAATGAATGACAAGAAAAAGAAACACAAACATGTAGTAAAGAATCTGAAAACATTCAACAAAGGAGGACAAAACACAAACCAACAACCTGTTTTACTACAAAGACATAAAAACCTGATTAACTTTAACTTTATGTTACGAGTCAAACATGATCAATACAGAGTTAGTTCAAAGTTCACATTCAGACAGCTTGTGTATGAGTGGAGGACTGCTTACCCGCAGTAACGTGTGTGAGAAAGTGAGTGAGTGAGTGAGAGAGCGAGAGCAGTGTGACGTCACATAAAAACCAGGAGGACAGGAGCAAACAGCGAGGTCAGAGGTCAAGATTCACCAGGTCAGAGTGATGCCTCAGGTTAACAGAACAATCATGAAAATCACCAAGCGACTGAACGGAGAGGAGGGCTTAAAACGTCTCATCATTAGAAGAGGAAGTCTCACTTTCACTTCAGAGCAGTTTGGTGTCTCATATGGATCAAGTTTGGGTCCAAATCCACGGAGAAAAAATTAGCAGAAGTTACGGCAACATCAAACTGTCCGGGTAGCAGAAAGTGAAACCTCCTTTTGAAGAGAAAGAGACCGCTGTTATTGACATGCAGACCTGCTTACAATTTCAAAAACACACAGGAAGAAACGGCAAATAAAAAAAAATAAAAAAAAACACGACGTGGTGGAGGAGTCGAAGAGAGAAACGTTAGGCTGGAATGTCAGAGGGAAGAGCGAACCAGAGAAAAGCTTTTCAATCACGAAACCAGGCTTACCTTTTAGCTATACAGTGAGACAAAACGATCTAAAGGAAAGAGGGGAACAGAAAGAAAAGAAAACAAAAAAAAAATGAAAGAGGAAAAAAAATAACAGTATAAAAGAATAAAAATAAATAAATAAATAGAATTGGTGAAATTAAATAAACAAAAACAGAAGAAGAGAAGATCATCACTTTGCTGTTAGGGGAGGGGCACTGCAGGTTAACTCAAAAGGACAGAAAGACAAAGACGTATTTCAAAGCACAGGATCTTTAATGTCCAGATGTTGCTCACAAACTTACGACTTTGGATAATATCTGGGTTTATACATCCCAAGTCGAAAGCTAAAGTGCCTGATCCTGTGCTCTGAAGTTTGCAACTGGAGCAAAGTACTGACAAACCAACACTGAGCAAATTACATCTGATTATAGAGCACATATTTAAGGGGAGCGTGACACAGGTGAACTGGGTTATGCCAGATGTAATTCAGCCTTAAATTAGGTTGATTAAGATTATCTTGGTAAAAAAAAAAAGAATTATTGATGCTTTAAACAGATTAGAAGGTAAAATGAGGAGCAGGAAGATATTTAGAAAACCCCACACACAATCACACATTTAACACTGAAACAGAAATACTACACTAAAACACGCCTGCATAATAAAGTTGCACCACTTCAAGATAAATGTAGCTTCCTGTTATTGATACGATGAATGGTCCACATGCAGACGTCACTGTGAATAATTACAATTAAACGAGAGTCTTAGGACAAAGCAAAAGTTTAATGTTTTGCTAAAAATCAGTGAATCGGTGTAATGTTTCACAGAGGAGTCACACACATGATTCTGACGTGTGCGGCTGGCATCTCTAATGCCGATCAGATGTTGCCTAACTCCTCAGAGATGCTCTGGAGGGAGAAAAAGGCCGAGTGCAGCTTTGAATCGAAAGCTGTGGCTGGGATTCAGACTGCGAGCTGCCAGGCTGTGGGGAGGGGAGGCGCTCCACATCGGGAAAATTAATAATCCAACATTATCGGGGAGACAAAACAAAACAAAACAATAACAAACAAAAATCAGTTCACTGAATTGTTTCACAAGCGCTGAGGGGGAAACATGAGAAACACTGGAGTGTCAAAATGTGGCCTGACTGGGTTTCTGGTCTTACCTGTGTCGGAGGGCGGGTGAGTGCAGGGAGCTGGGCTGTAGACTCGAGCAGAGTAATCCTCAAACGCGGTTGGCTCCTGGTGGTGCTGCACAATGGTTTCTAGATATCGGGCTCGCTCCTCATAGCTGAGCTCAAAGTCAAGGACAAACTTCACCAACACGTCGTGTCAAGTAAAAGAAATCAAAATTATATATTTCTCCTGATCTTTTATTTTATTTCTTTCTTTTTTTTTGCTGGAGCTGGATGTTTTTGGTAACAATAGAAATAGGATCAGCTAAAAATAAATCAACATTTTCTTTTAGTACAGTAAGGAATGCAAGTCGTAAATATGTGAATAAATTAAATTAAAATAATAAACTTATGATGTACGCAAGCCAATACATAAAATACAATAAAATATAGTACGATAAAAGAAATTCCCTTTCATGGGTATATTCAAAACATGCACAATCTTGCAAATTAATGTGAATAACGACAAAAAAAATGTGACGAAGAACAAATTTAAGAACCTGTTGGAGCTCATGCAAAAAACAGAGCATGAATTAAAATAAAATATTTTATTGGGCCAATTTAAACTTAAGAAAAATGTTATTATAAAGATAAATTTATATAAAATAATTTATGATTTGCTTATTTCAAAATTGTTCAACCAAATGAAATCAAATATAATAAAATAAAGATAACTGACCAATTGTCAAATATTAGCAGATCATAAAATTAATTTTAAAAAGAGAATCAAAACAGCATAATTTACTAAAAACTAGTTTAAAGAATGAATAAAAGCATATGTTATAATAATTTAAAATCACCAAGAGCCTATAAAATCAAATATTTTACGGAAAGAAAATTAGGTAATTACATAGTTTACATAAAATAAAATTTCATATCCTTAACAGCTGATTGCTTTGTCTCTAAACTGCAACTACAACAATAAATAACTAATGTATAAACACCTTTTTGTAAACAAATTTATATAATGGCTAAAAATTACATTGATTGTAAAAAAAAAAAAAAAAAAGTAAAATACGTTAAATGAAAACAGGAAAATAGTTTTCATCTTATACTAATGAACTCTACGAAGCAAAATTCCCATGTGAACGAGAAAATCAAAACTAAAAAACCAAATGAAATAAACAAAACAAGACCTAAACATGAGCACTTTGATCGCTCTCTGTCACACTGAGCAGGTCAGAAAGCGGCTCTGGTTCACGCAGTGATCTGTGTGAATGAAAGGCAGAACTTCAACTGTCCACCCATTAGAGATAACCTCATTGATACAATGACATCTGCCCTTTCTTTAGTTTGCCTAATACATCCATCCATAACGACACGCACGCACGCACGCACGCACACACGCACACACACACACACACACGCACACACACACACACACACCAGTCCCCCATCATCCTCCAATAGCATTACCATTTACTCATTGAGCTCCAATAACGAGGGGTTTTCAATGGAGCGTGTTTTTTTGCGTCTGTGTGCCTGCGTTTGATAAAATCGCCCGCATGTGTGTACGCAAGTGCATGGGTTAATGTCTGAGTGTGTGATGGGATTAGGCCAATGAATCTTCAGAATGAAATCTGTGTGTTTGTGCCTTGCGAAACGGGGCGGCCATCTGTAATAGCGCCCATGGGTTTTCTATTGGGTTAGAGAGCTGGTCTATGGGCCTCACAAGGAGAAAGATTCAGGTCTAATGGTAACTGATTCGGTTAGGGACAATGGTAATAACAACAATATGGCTCCTTTAAAGTGCAGTCGGCCGGATCGAGGAGGAAGAAGCAAAGGAGGAAATTCGGGTAAACTTTGGGCCGAGTAATCGGGACGTCAAGGAGTTTTTGCCCACCCCCTGCTATTCACAAGAAATGATTATTTCCAAAACACTTTTCAACTCTTTATACCGACAAAACGCGAAGTGCAAAGAAAGTGAGATTACGACGGTGGAAGAGAAGTTGCAAAAAAGACAACGGGAGACGGGAGGAAGAGGGGTGAGAATCCTGCAGCGAGTGGCAGAGAAGGTGAGAAAGGAGGGCGATATTTAAGTAACAGTAAGGGAACAACAAAGCGAGTATGTGGGTGCGCGTCATCCGGAAGGAGCCGAGGGAAGAGCAGCACGCGAATGCAAAGCGTGAATCCAACGTCTCTCACCCCGAGTCGCCATGCGATCACACGGTTTGCCTTTTCCTGCTTCCCTCGCTCCCCTGGATCGCACTTGTTACCCCCCCCTCCCCCCCAGTCAGTGTGAGAGAGGTGGATGAAACGCAATTAGGAGCAAGCAAACCACACCTAATCATCTTCATATCAAGTTTTAATAACATGTTTACCAGCAGGGAGGGGGAGAATAGGAGGTTTTGTGATGGCTGTTTTTTTTTTTTTTTTTTTTTTGAAAAGGTGAAAAGGTTTAAAGGACACCTGCTGGAAAGAAAGAGGTCTGCAGAGATGGGGAAACGGAGCACGAACAAGGAGGAAAACATACAGAAACGCGGTGCCAACTGCTGAGATAAATGACAAGAACATCACTTTACTTTTCTGCAGCCCGACTCCTCCAGGCTCCTCGATCCTTCTGTACCTCTTTGTTCATCTCAGCGAGGGTCTCCACCTACAGACTCATGTCACCATGTCACAAACTCCCCTACAATGAGGACGTGAACATTTGGAGGGACTGACATACAAGACCGATGCTACACACACCTGGCCACCAATAAGGAAGCTCTGCCACTAAACAACACAGCAACTTTTTACAGCAAGGAAAGAAGGATGTAATCGCAAAAGTGTTAAAACTAGTCAGTAATGTTAGCGGATGTATTGATAAAGAGGAAATTTAAAACTGAAGGTGAGGAAAGGGTTTCCTTCAAACTGACCTGAAGCTCAAATTATGTTATTGAAATCAGGGATTTTGGTAACAAGTGAAGAATGTACACGCAAACTAATTTAGTCAGTGTAGTATCGGAAGTTAGGGATAGACGATGACTGTCAAATACTTAGAAATAATAAATTATACTAAAACAATCCCACACAAGACTCAATAAATGACTGGTCTGATTTAATCAAACTCTGGTTGTAATGGGTTGTTTCCACAAGGTGGGGGTAATGCACAGAATCGCTCGCCAGCTAGTGTAAAGCAGTAGAAGAAGAAAGCTTGATTGAGTTGTTTAAATGTGCAGCAGCATTTCCACAAACATGGTTTTTAGTAACAAAGCAAAAGTTTAAAAGTTTGCAATTTACCATCTCAAATAACCTGGCATATTTTTGGAAAGAATCACATAATAAGAGACATGTAAATTCTAAATAAGGAAAGAAAAACAACTTTTAACTCTTAAAAATGAGTCAAACTAAGAAAAGCTAAATTAAAAACTTATCTTCTTAACGAAGATAAGCGGAAAAAAAAAGAAAAAGAAAAAAAAAGAACATGTTGATTAAAAGTACTTTAACACAAACTAAAATAAATAGCTTATGGTAAACTTGTTACTTGTTCAGCTAATTTTGAATAAGAAAATTCATTATTTTGAGAATATAAATAATAAATAAAAAAGGTAAACAATAACTGGCACAATGTTTAAAACATTAGGAACTTTGATAATATATGTGATAAAATAATAATATATATTTACTGGAATTACCAATGAATTTTAGAACCTCTCCTGGACATTCCCACCCACAAACACAACAAAAGTAAAAAAAAAAAAAAAAAAATTCTGAGTAATCCAACTTGGAAAGCTGAAATGTTTTTATAATCCATCAAAGTTCGGTGCAGGTTTATCAAGAAAATGATCCCTTAAAAGAAAAAGCCATCTGAAGAATGTAGGGTGAAAAAACCGTGAAAGATTTATCCGACAGTAAAGAGTGCCTATAAGCCGCAGCAGTTACCAGTGCAGGGTGATCAAATCTGGTTTAAATATATTTGTGCTTGTATCTCATCATGTTTGGCAGTAATAGTGGAACGGACAAACGAAAACAACAAACTTTGACCCAATCTCCGGCCTGTTTGTGGTGTCAACTCTGTTTGTCTTCAGAGCAAGCGGCTGTGAAAAAGCTTTGACTGAAGCCAGAAACCAGGAGTTTCTCCTTTTACAAATAAATTTAATTTAGCTTTTAAATGCGATTTCAGTTTCTCAATGATGTCACCTCCCAGCTTATGTTGCTATAAATTTGACTTCTTTGAGGCAGAACGCTCATTCTTGACATTAGAAACAGCAGCTGAAATTTAGCAGCTTTTCTAATGATTGCTTTTCCAATTCTGGTTTCTCTAGCAGAAGACATGCAACACAAATTAAGTTTATAATTTGAAATAAATAAATAAAAAAAAATTAAGTCAAAATCAGTGAGAGGTCATAGAAAATAGATGTTCACACATCTCTGCCTCCATCCAGCCATCCATCCCTACTTCCCTCCATCCAAATGGCGGTCGCCACTATGAAATCTTCTGTAATTGAATTTCAGATGGCTCCTCTTATAAAGTCATTAGCTGAAAAATATCTCTTTCAGATGGAGAAGCAGAGAGAAAGGGAAATTATGAGGGGAGAAAGACAGGAAAAAGGGAGAAGAGGAGAGCAGAGAGGAGAGGGGGTGGATAAAGAGGCTCTTTTGTGTCGAGTCAGAAACTCATTTTCTCGTGCGTGGCTGAAAAGATAGAAGAGAGTGAAGTGTTCATGCCATCCCTGGCGCTCCCTCCCTCCCCCCGTCGCGCAGCTCATTGTGACGGAGTTCGACTCCTGTGATCGCTTGAGACGGAGGGTGGATGGAGGAGCAGAGGAGGAGATGGGGGGAGGAGAAAGGAGCTTGTTAGCACATTAGGAGCTGGGACCACTGCTGGGATGTGTGTGTGTGTATGGCAATGTTTGTATGGAGAATGTGTGTTTGTGGTTTTGGTCCATATGAAGCTGAATATGTCACACAGATGTTCGCACAGGACGTTTTGACACAAAAGATTATTTTGGAGGGTTTTTTTTTCACCCCCCTACAGTTTTGCAAGTAATAAGGGAGGTAAAAAAAAAATCAAATAATTATTAAACTTAAAAAATAAATAAATAAAATACGCATAATGCGGAGACATTCTTCTTTTTTTTCTTTTCAAAGTTAGCGGGTGCGGTTTATTGGTGCAGAATGAACAACTCGACAC